CCTCCTATTCGTGCCAGTTCTTTCGCCACTACATGCTGCAAACTAAAATCTATGTAACTCTCCTTCTATAAGCACGATCATAAGGAAATATGTGAACAAGCCTCTCATTGAGTTGTCAAAAGGATAAGAATATAGTACGACTTGTATAGAGTGTTTTTTTTTCAAGTTATTGTATTCTAGTTCTCCTTTTCAATGAGATATAATCACTTTTTTTAGGTGAAAATCAACTTCTACAATTAAATAATTAAAATAGAAATTATAACATGAATTATGATGTTTTAATTGTGTTAAAACTGATTATTAAATAAAAAAAAAAAAGAACAGAAAATTAAATGGGTTAAAACTTTATTTTCATGTTATGACAGCGCATGTTATCAAACGGCCGGGTGGAGTCTCCTGCACTACCTAAAAGCGAAAGTAGAAGAAAGGAAAATTCCAGATGGGGGTGACTGGTAGTGCAACTAGGTCTTCAACCTTCTAATTGAAGAGCTAAGTTCCCCGTCTTTCAACAACATGGCATTTGGGTCCATATTTCACAAAAATGACGGCAAATTTACATGGGACTATTATTAAGGATCCGTTTGATTTCAAGTATGAAATTTGTAGAAAATAAATTATAAGTAATCCAATTGCCTGAAAATTATTTGTATGAAAATTATTATTTAATTTGTTTGATTGATTTAATTTTTAATTTAGAAAATATTATATTTGTCTATTTCTTATTAGTGAGCACATGAGACAAGTGGATAAATAAGAAAGAGGGAGAGAAGTAAATTATCTGAAAAATAAAAATCATGAATCTCTAAAAAAAAATATTTTTCTTATTTTTGAGGAAAATACGATAACTTGACCAAAAGTTGGAAAATATTTTTCGTGGAAATATTTGTCAATCAATTTTTTTGCGGAAAAATGACATTTTTCGTGAAAAATAAAGTCAATCAAATACAATCTAATAAATCTTAAAAGAGGCATGTTTCAAACATCAACATACAATATTAACTGAAAAGAGAAGGGATAAATCAAAGCCATTTTATTAGAAAAGTCAAGGAGATAAACAGCCAGCAAGACAATTCGTGCTCTTAAAATAGAGCACTACAACAGTTCGGTGAATTTTTCAGATTAGCATCTAGGAGTTGGCACGCCACAGATGTTAGCAACCCTTCTGGCATTGGGAGAGTTAACATACTGACTCAGGCTTGGATTTCTTATATACCCACAAAGGCAAGGCTCCTGCTCCTTCAGCTTTCTGCAGCAAGTATCTGATGGAGGCAGCGACATCATTATTGCCCCCGCGCACGAGCTCAGCTCTAGCGGGCTGCAATTGACCGCCTCCGTCACTTGTAATTTTCCAACAAACAGAACCACCACTGCCAAGCACAATGCAAAGCTCATTGCTGTCTTCATCTTCAAAGTGGGCAATGATATAAAGAATTAATCCAAGAAAGTTACGCGATTGTTGTATTTTGGAATGAAGAGATGTCCTGCAATTTATAGAAACCAGGGTCTGATTACCAAGATGAGTCGACTAGTGAGCATAGGGAAAGGTCCAAATTGAGAAAAGATGTTGGAAGCAACACCAACGAATGGATGGAACAGCCATTAATAGTCCTCGACTCCAGTGTCTATCTATAGCATAGAATCTGTTGGTAAGCGCAATCAATTTAGGATTAAATGCAAACTGAGTACCTTTTTACAGTCACACACTTCAAGGCACATTCAAGAATGAGACCGTATTGGATGTGTTGGAAAATGGTGAAATGGGTCAATTTTGAACCCAAATTTTAGTGGGACTCCTACCTTAATTTTAACGGTACCTAGTATATTCACGTTCTACTCCACGAGGCGATTAACATGATATATTTATTTATCAAAAATTATTTAGAATTGAATGAAATAGATAATGTCAAAATAACATATATGAAACTATGAATTAGGGAAAATTTTGATTTGTTAAATACTTATCTCACGTAGGAAAGTTAGAAAAACTTTGGCATGATTTATATGGTGGAAGTTTGGAAATTGGATTTGGGCCCCAAAGAATAACAATAGTCTTTGGAAGGGGGGAGTCCTATATCCTATCAAGCACAGTCATAAGCCTACACGCGTGCGCCACCGTTGTCGTTCGGACAAATTTTTTTCAAAATTTTGGACCAAATTGTAAGTAATCAAATTCTTGGATAG